TCTGGCAGGAAGTGCAGGCCTCCCTTTAGGCCCCAGATGCGTTCATTCAACACTGTGTAACACAAACTCCAGCGAGCGGAATCATCCCCATCTGACGTGCAGTTTTCCCAGGGATGAAACAGCCCAGCATACCCCTTCTCCCCACATGTGCTAATGAGAACCTTCTGATGGTACACACTCTGGTCTTAGTTTACTGGAACTTTTTACATAAAAGAAAACTCTATATAGTATTTATGCCCCTGAACCATTTCATTCCATACAATGGTGCCCTAAAACCTCGCTGTATCCTTTCACTACACGGCCCCCTAAGAGTCGCGATTACCAACCACCAATTCATCAGTAACAAACCTGTGACAGTTTTCCAACAGTAAACTTCAGAAGTCATTAACAGCATCCAGAAATCCTACTTGTATGCTTCAGGGCTTCAACTGTGGCATGTTAAATGACAAGGTGAAGAACGTCCCTCTGACGGAGCTGGCCTGAGAAGCCGGCAGAGCCTGGAATCCCTGTACCAGGCAGCCCCCTCCAGCTCCACAACCGCCGCTTGCTACGTCGGCTCCCTCTCCAGACTCCTGTCTTCACAGCTGCCTCCAGCTCCTCTAAAACAGCACATCCTGCAGAGTCCTGTCCGCCCAGATGGCCAGTGTTCCAGAGCAACTGTGCTCACAGGGGATGGGAGCAGCAGCACACCCCAAACTCCTGCCCTGCACGGAAGCAGAGGCTGTCACGGCGCCATTTTCCATTTACTTGGACTTCTCTCCTCTGTACCCCTGCCACCACAAGTTGATTCCCCAATATCTGGTGTCTTCCAGCTTTTCGACCAAATGTTACAAGATTTTTGTTGGAGTCTCTAATCCTGTTTTTTTAAAGAACAGCTTGCGGTTTGCAGCATCTGATTCCAGCGTGAGCCCGATTTTTCCCAGTCTGCTCTGAATGGGAGCCAAGGGACTCTTCTAAAACAAAAGCATACTAAAAGGCAAAACCAGGGCTTGCTTTTGAAGCTCAACTTTGTTCCATGCTTCTCTAGCAGGTGGAAGCTTTGTGGGCGCAGGATTCCAATCTGCTGTCGTGACCAGAACGCACTGGTGCCCTGCACAGGCTGCCAACATCTGATGAACGGGTCGAAGTAGCAGCAATGAGTCCTGTTCAGACTCCTGCTGCAGAGCCTTGAGGAAGTCTTAACTTCCTCTGAAACATTTTTTTTTGGAACCTTTGCTCTCCCTTAGTCATTAAACCACTTGACAGCACAACAAAGAATGTAATAAAACATCTACAAACCATTTTTGGTATGTGTGATGCAAAACTCATCTTGAATTCTTTGTATCAAAAAAAAACAAAAACAAAAACAAAAGAACTAATGACTTGATGTAGAACCATTCTGAATCAACTCAATCAGGGTGAACCTGAGGGCCACTTTATATGCAGGCCCTCCGTTTCAAACTTCCTGACATATAGTCTCACTTCTACCCCTCACTAAAATTTGCTAACTCTGCTATCCAGAGAAACTAAGGCACAAAAGAAAATCAGGTCCATCAGAGGTTCACCCTCACTCTCCTCAGCTTATTCAGTGGATTCCTACTGACAGCTATGGAGGGACTACTGATGTGTACGACCTGAGCCGTGACTTTACACTGCCAGCTCTCAAGGACGGGCTCTGAGTTCAATCTGTTGTAAAGAGGAACAGACATTGTCAGGGAAAAGGCTATTTTTTCATACATTTATTATAGAAACTGAAAGGTGACATTCACCTTCCAAGAAGGGAAACTCCTGAAAACCCTTTGTGTCTTCCTAGCTCAGTCACAGTCCACACTAAGCCATCAGTTCCCAAGAAGAAACTCGGCTTCTTGGTGAGTCCTCGTCCTGGACAATGCAAAGTCTGGTCAGCTTTCCTTAAGATGCATCACCAGTGCTAAGTCTGAACTGGGTGGCGATTCTGTCATCCCACACCCCCTCGCCTCAGCCAAGAGGCAGGCGGATGCACTGCTCACTCTCCCAGCCCGCTATCTGCAAGCTGCTCTGTGACACAGTGGGATGAAAGCCACCATTAAGCTGGTATGTCTGTAGGTACAAAAACTGTTCACTTTTTGACCTACCTAAAATTAGCTGGATGTCAACCACACGTATGAGACTGCTTTACATGTCTGTGTGTGTATACAGACATGACCTATCTACATGTGTATGGCTTTCACTAGAGAAGGGACGCTTACCAGGAAGGCAGGAAGGTTCCACACTCACTGGTTATAGTCAGTGACAAGTCTCCGACTTCTATGCACCCTCTTGCTACTAAAACGCTTTGGGGAAACACAGGGGGCTGTGTCTCCCTTTGGTGCATATGGAGAAGTCTCAAAGCATCACAGATGTCAAAGTGGAAGAGTCTGAACACACATGCTCAACACCTACCCAGCCACCCTTGCCAGCAACCGGTTCTACGACATGGAGAGCCAATGCCCAAAGAGTAAAGGTTACTGTCTGTCCACAGGCCTCAAGAGGTGCCACTAGAAACGTCCTGTGACAGAGCCGGTGAGCAGAAACTGATGGGCCAGGTACATCTGTCACCGAGCACAGCCCTGCTCACGGGAGCCGGCTGATGGCCAGTCCTCCCCTCTCTGGTGAACACACAGAGACCACCCTTGGAGGGATGTGCTGACTGTAGAGCTGCCCAATATTGGTTAAGGTAAAGGAGCTGTCCAGTGCTGGTGCTGCCTGGCTGTTACCACTCCTTTGGGCAAACACAGGAATTCATGATGATCTGACCTTGTCTTAGAAGTTGATCTGAAATTTCTGTATCTCTGGGGTTCTTAAAGTGCTAAATGCTAATGAAAACTGACAATGAAGATGGACTGTATAATGTTCCTTAATAGTCTGTGTTCCAGAACTGCTAAATTTAAGTCATTCAGAATCCTAATGATGTCAACTTTTATAAAAATTGACAGAAAAATAAGAAATTTAAAAATCAAAAGACATTACAGAGTGAAAAAAAAAAAAAAAAAAACGAAAGAAAAGGGGACAGGGGTATTTGGCAAGTGGGTTAAGCTCATTCAAAGTATCCCTATCAAGAGTAAGTGTTAAAGGCCTATTCAACTTTCTCCTAAAAATATACAGACATATATGAAAAGCTATTGTGATGAAATCGTCTCCAGACTGACACTATATATCCCACTGGGACTGCTTCCCAAATCTCCACATTTGGGAAACCTGAGAACTCAGTGGCCATGCAGCTGAACAGAGCGCCACAGTGTGCTCTGCTCACACAGAAAATGGTGGGGGCCTTCTTCACACAGGCGGCCTTTCTGGAACAGTCTGTCATGGGTAACTTCCTCCCCCCCAACCCCCCACCCCACCCCAAGGCTCCCAATACTTTTAAGCTCTAAAACACATTCCCAAACCACCACCCATAAAGCAAGTACAGGGTCCCATTGCATTGCTACTAGATTTTGCTTCAATCATAGCACCAACTACTTAATTACAATCACAGCTCTAAGAATCAGTGGACAGAAATCCTGTAAGCAGTTTCCTAGTGCATCTTACATCTTTGGTGTAGGACAGGCAAAAGGGTCTATAACGTGTGATTGTCTAAAAGAACATCTGAAAGACAACCTGGCCAAGCTGCTGCTCCGAGCGCCCTCTGGAAAGCAGGGGGCAGCGGCTCTCTCCCTCAACCTGTTCCTAACGTCACAAAGGTCACGACAACGCGATGGCGCTTCCCACCACACCACTGAAGTCTCACAGCACACATGCACACACCAGAGCCAAAGGAGACAGAAACTGCATCGGGGGACAGGAACAGCCTCTAAATGCCCCTACATCGAAGCCTCACAAACTCCTGAGATATGAGCCTCCGCTGCGACTGCGCTCAATGAGTTGAACTCCGACGCAAAGAACAAGCTTTCAAAGAGACCTTAGACAAAATCACGGAAGTTCAAAAATTATTCTTTCGAAACATGCTGCAAATTATAACCTGGAGTCAGGAATTATTCTCAAAACTCAGGTTTCTGATTCTCACTAGGTACTTAGGAGGGCAGTTTATTCTTTTCAAGGAAGAATCACTAAAATCTCTCCAGCAGGGTTATTGCACAGTGGGGCCCCCAGGATAAGGATTTCCAAGGGCTAGTCCTTGTATAAAAAAAGGCCACAATAAATACATCTGTACAGTGTGCCCCACTCTAACTCGACATGGTAAACACAGATACGATGAATCTTGCTTTAAAAAGAAACTCCTGAGGAAAGAAAAGGATGAGAAAACTCTACCAAGGCCACTTGCACCAGAAACTGCAATCGCCTCTCACTGCCATGACGGCCACTCACCAGCCAGGCTGACCATCCCGAGAACCAAGATGAACCAGTGACACGGCTGCACACTTCAGTACTTCACTCAAATCACAGCTCACAGCAAGCTTTTGAAGAGCCTCCCAGGCAAGTTCAGAAAGCAATCAACTGCAGTCCATCATTACTGACTGAGGAGTGACCAGCGAGAAGCTAGCAAACTCAATCTCTAATGAATCCCAGTGTCTTGGCCGTGAACTCTCACTCACAGTTCTCAAGACATTTGGAAATGGAATTACAGGTTCTCCTCCCGCCCCCATCACCTTTTTAAAATCAGGGTAGCACCACGTTTCACTCTGACGTTAATTTCCCCACTACATCCCCCTCAAGGTAAAAAAGATATTTGGCAATCAATCCATGCAGCAGCCTGCGATGCACAAAGCAGCCCAAGTTTTAAACCCTCCCCGATCACCCTATTAAAATGCCAAATCCTAAGCAACAGATAAAAACCATACCGCTCTGAGAGATAGTATTCAATTATTCTTCAACTTCCTGTAATAATTAATGAATCACAATACATACAGCACTGGGTATAATTCCAAACACCCAACTATGACTGAGTCAGCAAGCCACTCCTTGCCTATGGCAGACACACAGCAGCGTTTTTAGCTACGTGGGTGGCGGGGTTTCTCATGGCTTCTGCCTTTCAAAGCATTCACTCTCATTCTAAAATGGTATGCTATACACAAAACCATCCATTTTATTCCAGAATACATCATCTTAATGAGAATAAAAAGCTTCTGTATGCACATACTGCCAATACATTTAAAAAGGTTCAAATTTTAACAAGTAGAAGACAAATTCATCAGACAAGAGATCATAAATTACTTTGGCCGAAAAAAATCTTTAAAAAAAAAATCTGGCTCAACATTCTGCTTGCAGGTTTCTACACATACTGTATATGTGGTGAGTGTGTGTGTGTGTGTGTGTGTGTGTGTGTTATGTGTGTATAGAAAGAGCATTTTTTAAGGGAATGGAGTACGGTCTAGCCCACCTTCCACAGTTACGTAGGGACTACAATGTTCTTTGCTAGCAAAACAAGAAGTGCAAGGTCTGCATTTCCACCGACTCGATGCAAAGCCCCAAGAGCTTCCTGCAAAGTGAAGCCGGCACGGAGAATCCGGTCAATATCAGCAGCAGGAAAGCCTAGTGGTGGGAGAATGCAGGGACCTGACGAGTGGCTGGGAGGTGCTTCAACTTCAAGAGATGGTCGTGCAGCGTCACGACAGACGTCTTCTCTGGTCGCAGGCCTGTCTGGTGCTGGGTTCTGTGTGCCCTGACCCAAGTCTTTAACCAGCAAAGACTTAGTCTGCTCACAAGTCTGACTGAGAGCATCCCCCTCACCTGTTAAAAGTCTGGGTGAGATTTCCACACCTAAGGTGCGGTGTGATTGATTAGATGTTTCAGCTGAGGTTACAGTGACAGAACGGCTCTCGTGCACCGAGCCCCTGGATCTGGGGGCACCGTGATCAGTTGACAGGCCACCACCTGGACCCTGGAAGGTAGCATTTTCTCCATCTTCTATTCTGGTGTCAGGTGAAGCGTCTGTTAATTTTTCTGTCTTCACGCATTCAGGTATGGCATGCGACACCTGTGGCCGCTCCTCATCCTGGGTACGACGCTCACTTTCGGTCCATCTTTCAGAAGGGTTAACACGCGTCTGCCCCCAAGCTGTTCCTTCTGATTGACACGTAACTTCTTCATACGCAGCTTCTGAAGCTGGTTTACTACTAATGACCAAAAGTTCATGAAGCTCTTTCAAGGCTGTGGTTATAGACGAACAAGATTCTTCTGCGGACTCTGCAGGGGGCTGACTGCTGCCGCAGACACTCGAGGAGGAGGCCCGGCCGCCGTATGCTCTGTCTGTCCCAGGCATCTCCACACTACCTTCTGGGGGCTGCAGATCCTGAATGGGGATGGAACCATTCAGGATCTCAGACGAAGGGCTGCACGTTGGTAGCTCTACTTCCATCAGGGGATTCCCTAAAGTGAGACCAGACGCGCTGCCGTTCCCGACACTGGAACTCAGCACAGCAACCAGCGACTGTTCGGCTGCATCCACTTCCATAAGCGTTTCTGAGTCCGGGCGGCCACAGCGTCCTGAAGGGAGAGCGCCCTTCCCTGGATCTGGAAGACCCGCGTCCTGCTGCAGACGACCGCCTCTCATCGTGGCTTCCCGGTCAGCAACTTCGTGTTTCTGCTGCCTTTCCCCGGGAAGTTCAAGGTCCCCTGTGTCACTCGGAGCGTCCCGAGGGCCCGCCTCATGCCGCGCGTTCTCTGGTTCTTGGTGCTGCTGGAGGTCGTTCACTTGACTCGGGTTCTGATTTTCTGGATGCCAACCCTCTTCACCTACAAACATTTGTGGTTCATGCATCCTGGTAGTCGTGATGGATAAATTCACTTCCTGTCGCGTGTGGAGATGAAATCGGAGGCCCTGGGTGCGTCTTTCGGCAGATGCCTCCAGGCTATCGGCAACACCTGCTGCTTCAGATGAATGCCGCAAAGGCATAGCTGAGCTCGGGGCTGCGGCAGCAGCACAGGGAGAATGGCCCTGGAGAGGAAGGCGGTCTGTCTGCTTAGAGTTTATCTGGAATCCGTCTGAAGCCTCCAAGGCCGTCACAGCTTCAGGTTCAGTGCTATCTGGGTTATCGGGCTTGACAGGGCAGACTGAAGCAGATACAGAGCGAGCAAGACTCGTGGGGTTCCCAGCCTCAGGACTCTGCCCTGAAGAATGGGCTGGATGGTCAGATCCATCTAAGGGTGGTGAGGACGACATTCCCAGTGAGGTAGATTCTTTACCACTTTTCTCTATACAGAACAAAAGGGAAAGGGAGATCAATCAGCACATAAAAAGGGCCACTGCATTTCCAGGGGATACAAGTCTAAACAGGACAGAATAAATGAAATCAGGCCCTTAATCTCAGGATCCTCTCACAGAGACAATTAAAAATGTGAAAGAATTCTTTCCCACGTGGCAGATGTTTAAGAGGTACATGGCTGGGCTAGTGCGCGGGACTGCAGAACACCCGCGGCTCTTTACTCTGAACTCATCGATAGTTTCTCCTCGAGTGCTTTGTCCACCACTTGCCCTAAAATAATGTGGGATGTTTGTTAAGTGTGCATCCTGGGGGGTAAATCTACTTTTCATTTGCAATAAGCTCCTGTGCGATCGAGAATCTTTGAGTAGGATGCTTCCCACATCAATGCACTTTTCATGTTTCAAATGAGAACACTCAAATTAAGAGAGGTCTAAAACTTGGAATTTGAGAATTTACATGATGCTCAGGGGCTTCCAGAAGACAAAGAAGCAAACACGATTCTACCTCTGATTAGAGAGTCAACCAGTGAATGCGATGTCTCTGTGCCTCTGCCTCCAAATAAATAAAGTAAATAAAGGACTATCAGTTACCACATGAATAGAGTCCAACTATGTTAAGAACAGTTATGTTCTTCAAGGGGACCTGGTGGAGTAGTGGACAGACAGTTCATAACAGTTGTTCAACAGGCAGTGACTATCTAAGTTAACTGCACTTAAGGAACACTCAGATAAGGTGACAGGCCTAGCCATCAGCTCATGCGGGGCCAGCATTGAGGCGCAGTGGGGTAAGCCACCACTTGCAGCACAGGCATTCCATATGGGCGCCAGTTCAAGTCCTGGTGCTCCGCTTCCGATCGACCTCCTTGCTCACGTGCCTAGGAAAGCAGGGAGGGTGGCCCAAGTGCTTGGGTCCGTGCACCCGTGTGGGAGACCCCTCAGAAGCTCCTGGCTTTGGCCTGGCCCAACCTCAGCCATTACAGTCATTCGGGGAATGAACCTGTGGATGGAAGACATCTCTCTCTGTAATTCTTATATATATATAAATCTTAACAACAACAACAAAAAAAATCAGCTCATTGTGAACAGCTAACCGTATCTTTAAACATCAGTTCCAATTTTCTTTTTCCCATTCATCCAGTTAAAATAAGCTTCAATGCATTTGTTGTAAGACTGAACTCAAAGCCAGGGTGGGAGTTTTGACACAGAAGTTGCTGCTTGGGGTGCCCGTGTCCCATATGGGAGTGCCTGGCTCGAGTCCCAGTCACTCTGCTTACAATCCAGCTGTCTGCTAGTGCTCCCTGGGCAGCAGTGGCTGATGGCTGAGGTACTTGGGTCCCTGCAACCCATGTGGGAGAGCCAGAGGGAGTTCTGAACTCCTTGCTTTGGCCTAGTACAAGCCTGGTGGTTGCAGGGATCTTGGGAGTAAACCAGCAGAAGGAAGACCTATTGTCTCTCTGCCTTTCAAATAAAATGAAAATAAAAAAATTTTAAAAGTCCAAAGGCTGGTAACAAAGATGACTTCACAAGACAATCTTTTTGGGCAGGTGCAACTCAACCTTTGGAATGAACATTAGCAGTAAGCAGGAAAACAACATTTGCCTCAGTCTGAACCATCTCCACTAGAATCTAGAAACACAGGTATTACCAGTCTCTAAGGCTGACTCTGGAAGAGGTTCGATTTTGAACTAACGCAAACAGAAAAAACTGCACTGTAGTGACATACCCATGCTGGTAACACAGAGGAGGATGAGAAAGGCCTCTGGCACTGCTATGCACTGATAAACAACCAGGGAAGGTCAAGGTGAACAGGGCTCAATGGGTTTGTACTCATTAGAAAAGCAGCACAGGCCTCCGGTAGTGGACACGGTCAGATTCACTGTCCTAAGAGCTACGTGGAGGGGGGACTGGGTCAGTACTACATGACAGCAGAAGAGGATGAGAATGGGTATCAAGAACAATCAAACTAGGCCTATTTTAACCCATCCTTACCAGGAGAGAGAAAGAAGAAATTAAATGCTATGTATCTGATTACAACCAGCCTGCAACCCCCTGTAAAACCTAGGGCTGCCAGTTTAGCAGCTAACATTTCCTCCTGATCTGTCAGCTGACAGCCTCAGGATGCCATGTGTCATATTTACACCGCAGGGAAATGGAAATGAAGAGCCTCCCATGGAGAATCTGTCAAGCCAGGGACACAGGGAGAAAGCAAAGACTCAGCTCCTGTTGCAAGAATAAAGTGCAAGTCTTGCCTATGTTACAGGCTCTGTGATCCTGGTCAAGTTGAAGTTTCCATTTCTTTCTCAACACAATGAAAATTTCTTCTTCCCCCTACCCCTCAAAACTCCAGGTGGTCACACACAACAATGTGAAAAAAAGAGCTCTTAGCTTTTCAGAGGAAAGGAATTCCTAAAATGCATTACAAAAAAAGTTACTTCCAACAACAAAGGGCTGTGATAGAACAGATACGGCAGAGTTAATGGAGGCTGTCTTTGCTGAAATTCCCTGCCCCGTTCTTATAATTCATACAGTTTTAAACAGGAATCTACTCTTAGGTAAGCATGTATGCCAACATACAAATGCACGCGCAGGCTGGTTGTAACCAGATCACACGAGGTGGAATGCATGACAGAAGCCAACTTCCAAGACTGCTGCAGTACAGACAAGTTCAGACTGCGGATGACACTGGACGAAGGCTGAACGTGGCGTCTATAAATACCTGGTCTGGGGCCCACTCCAGCTGCAGCACACACACACTACATGCATCATGGCTTCTGACGCTCTGTTTGAATTAGGAAACAGACAAGCAAACTTGGGTTAACAACGCAAACCACACAGCATGCAGGGTTATAGTTTCCATTCCTTTGCCATTTTAAAATCGGGAACTCATGGAGTCAGTTGGGGGAATGCTCCTCTGGTCTGGACATCGGAAAGATCTGCTGGTTGCTTCAGTACTCCCACAATACATAGGCTATGTCAACTGCAACACATTTTTAACAGAACTTGGAAAGAAATGAATTTTACCCATTTACTCAGAGAATTCAAGGGCAAACGCGCACAACAGGTGAAAAAAGTAGACCCATCGAATGGAATTAGCTATGAAACCCTGTTAGGGAGTAAAAGTGAGAACACGTGGAATGGTCACTTTCCAAATTTCTCTCAGTTGAGATTCATTTTTAGAATCAAACAAACCGAACCTCCTTCAATTCTATCCTGACTTATCTTCTTTGCCTTCTTATCAATTTTCAAAGTCTGTCAGATGTAGCACCTAATTTCTCAACTGCGAGAAAAGATGAAGATATTTTGAGTAAAATATCTGCCACAGAAGTGATTCTTAGCAACACCTTCACCTACTGTGTCCAGAGTCTGACTGCCAACGATGCCGGGAAGCAGCACTTCCAAGAAACAGCACGTGATCCGCAGCTGCTTTCCGGGACTCGGCATGCCGTCCCTGTCGGCAGGGGGTGTTCCGGGGAAGCCGCCCCTTTTCATCCTCGGGCACTGGAACACCCTCGTCACTGAGCCTGGAAGCCTCTGGGGTATCTTTTTCAACTTCCTGTGCTTTTGATTAGAATACGGTAGTCGCCCAAAGAGGGTAACGGTTACTGGTACTAGAAATCATTGCTGGCGGCACTGTTTCTTGGGAATAACAATGCCAAGACTGTGGAAGTTAAATTTAAAAAGAAATAGAAGGGCAGAAATTTCACAAAATGGCGACATATCCTCATAGTAATACACAGTACACACAAGAAGACCAGTTACCGCCAAAAGCAACACAGGATGAGTGTGCAGGCCTAACTCACTTAAGCTAACTTGCTGCAGAGATTAACACGATTAAGTTAGCTTCTTCCTGTCTGGTTGCTCAGAATCTTTCCCTTCCCACAAAACACTGGTCACAACCAACGCTGTGCCTTCTATGTTAACACCGAGCCAAAAGCTGATGGGAACAGACCCTGAACAAGGCCAGCCGGGAAACCTCCATCTGCTCCACACACCCGTCCTGACGGGCGCAGGGCTGGACGTCTGGATGCTGTCCAGGAAGTGTGGCAGACCTGGCTGCTCGCTTTTAAAGTTCTTACCCTCTTGTCTTTAGGAGAAGGTTACTCCCTCGACTGTTAACTCTGATACATGTCACTGTACTAGAAAAGCAATATGTGGTATCTGTCACATGGATGAGTGATTCCAGCTCAAGACTTTAAATAACCCAAACTTGAAAGTTAACACATCCCAGATTCACTGTTCTTTGACAGATGGAGAATTCAGTAAAACTGTGTTGCCCCACTTTATCCAGAATACTCGGCTCCATCTTTAACTTAAACAGGCCGGCCAAAACAATCGACATTGGGAAGAAGTATTAGGTAGCTTCACTTCATAGTTAATATGTTGTTTCAGCACACTCTCAATGACAGCATGAACAGTGCACTCCGGTTAACAGTCACGCATGCTTCCTGCCGTTGGTTCTCATGGCTTTGAGTGGCAGCACCTTCACCACATATCTATAAAGTGAGAGCTGCTTACTGACAGTGACAGTGCTGTCCCTCAAAAAAAAAAAAAAAAAAAATGGGCCTAGAAGAAGGAAAGATTTTTAGGAAAATAATTCTGAACACAAAGGTGTGTGCCTGCGGCTACAATTCCTTCATGAAGCCCACCGAAATGTGTCTAAGCGAGGTAACTCCCAGTGTATCCTGCACACAGCAACAGACGTTTCTGGATCTGCTGAAACACCGCATCTTCTCTGCTGTAGTAAGAGATGGGCGGAGGCAGCAAGAAGACAAACGTTAACAGTCTACCGCTGGCTGCTGAAACCGGTCACAGCCGCACCGGTCCCTACCTCTGGAGCACTTCCCCGGCTCCCCAGCAAAACCAGTTCCATTCACGGGCTCAAGTCGACCCAAATACCTGCATCCTCTGCTGATTTCTGAATGGCTTCCGCTAACTCTTGGTCTGCAATCTCCTCCGGCCGCACAGCCCCGTACGCCAGCCGA